TTTGCGACGGACGTCGTGGTGGATGTGGGGTCGATGTCAGGGAGCGCGCGCAACGTGACGCTGGCGAACTGCACGTTTGTGGACGGAGCGAGCCTGTATGTTGTTGGGTGGCGGTCCGACCCGCCTGCTGGCGAGCGTGCCGATGTGTTGATCAGCGGGCTTGAGTCGCGCTCCGGCGGCGGCGTGCTGGTGGCGAACCGATTTCCGCCGGGCTCGCGCGTCACTGTGGTGGACTCGGTGCTGATCGCAGAGAAGCGTGTTGCGTACCGTAACGCCTACGACCTTGGCGACGCCTCCGCGTGCCTCGTGGTGCACAGCGTGAATCTGACGGGGAGCGTGCTGACCATCGCGCGCACGCACGTGGCGGCGGTGTTCCGTGAGGCTGTTGGCGTGTTGGTGGTTGGCGGCGTGGTGCTTCAGTCGCGCGGTGCGCTGTACGTGGACGGGCTGTTGGTGCAGACGGCGCTGGGGCTGTGCGTGTCGGTGGAGGGCGGTGTTGCGGCCAGCGGCGGCTCCGTTGTGGCGTTTGTTGACAGCGACTTCCTGCTGTGCAAGCACGCGGTGTCCGTGCGTGGGGCTGTGAGCGTGTCGGGCTCCGCTGTGGCGCTTGTGCGGAGCGACTTTTCGTCGACGGAGGACTACGCGGTGGCGTTCTATTCGACGGTGAGCCTGGCTGGCGGGTCGATGCTTCTGGCGAAGGGCAACGTGCACGATGGCGTCTCGAGGGAGATGCTCCACGCGGCTGGTGCCGTGACCGCTGTTGGGAGCACGCTGAGCTTTGTGCGCAACCGAGCGCTGCTGCCGCGGATGCTGTCGGTGAGCCTGTCGCTCTCGGCTGGGGCGCATTTGAGGGTGGCGTGCAACATCGCTGGCGGAACTGTCCTGTCGACGGCGGAGGAGTACGCTGCGGCTGGCTTTGGCGACGCTGGGAGCATCAACGTTGCTGGATGCGACGCCTGCGACAGGGACACGCACTGCTACGCGCCCGAGACGTCGTCGGCGAGCATGAAGGACGGTGTGTGCGTGTGCGAGTGCGTCAGCGGAGGGTACGGCGAGGCGTGCGTGTCTGTGGGAGCTCCCGCACTGCCGCCCGCTGCGGGCACTGCGTCGAGTGTGTTCATCCGCGAGGGCGTGACGGTGCGGTCGGTGTTTGTTGTGCCTGCCGCCGCGAGCGAGGTGACGCTGCGCCACGTTGTGCTGGACGGCGTGAGTCCGGTGCTCTACGTGCCGTGGATGGCGCGGGACGGCGTGCGGATCGTTGTGCAGAACGTGTCGCTGCAGAACGGCGCCGTGCTGTACGTGATGGGCGTTGGAGCGTTGCGCGGTGCGGGTGCGGCGGGGAGCGACGAGAGCGGGCCGGTGGAGCTGTCGGTGTGCGATGTGGAGGCGCTGAACGGTGCGCTTGTGCTGACCGGCACGTTCCCTGCGGGGTCTGTGCTGACGGTGACGGACTCCCTGCTGGTTGCCGCGAGGTCTACGCCGCTTGTGTATCTTCCCGGCTCACAGTCCTCGCCGTACGCACCGGTGCTGGTGCTGTCGGGCCTGCGGCTCGTGCGGTCCGTGCTGGTTGTGTCCGGCGTGGCCCTCGTGACCGTGCTGACTGGTGGGCGGACGGTGGTGGTGGACGGCGCCGTGCTGGAGGTTGTCGGTGGCGGTGTTGCGCTGGACGCGGCTTTGCTCGGTGGCGAATATGCGTTGTACGCGAGTGCGCGCGTGGTTGCGTCGGGGGGCGCTGTGCTGCGTGTGTCGGGGAGTCAGGTGTACGCCGCGCATGGGTTGGTGTTTGGCAGCGGGGTGGAGGCTAACGCGTCTGCCGTCGTAGTGAACGACAACGCCGGTGCGCTGACCGATGGCGCGCTGCTGGTGCTGCGGGGGTCGGCGTCGTTTGCTTCCGGGTCGTGGCTGTCGGTGCGCGGCAACAGCATCAGCGGCAGGCTCCTGTCGGTGCCGTCGTACCCGCGCGGTGCGGAATTTGCGCAGAGCACGCTGACGCTCCACGGGAACGCTGGCAGCGGACCCGTCGTGATGGACGGCACCGTTGTGCTTGGGGGCGCCGGCGGGAAGCTCGTCGTGGGGTGTCTGACGCTCAACGGGGAGGCGCTGCAGCCGATGGACTACAGATCCGCCGGCATCATCGGGAAATTCCGCCCCGTGGCGTGTGGCGTGTGCGACGCCGACGTGAACTGCTTTGCAGCTGCGACGAGGGCGATGTCGGGGTCGTGCCGCTGCCGCTGTGCTGAGGGCGGGTACGGGCGCGACTGCCTGCCGGTGTACCTGCCGCACGTGGACGGGTGCAACCGCACGCCTGCCCCGCCGCTGCTGAGCCACACGGCGACGCTGACGGCGACGCGCAGCCTGACGCCAACGTGGACGCCGAGCCCAAGCGCGACGCAGTACTGGCCAACGCGGCATGGGCCGACGGAGACCCAGCGGGTGACGGAGACGGTGGAGCTGCCGCTCACGCGGACCCCGACAGCGTCGGTGAGCAGCACGCTTTGGTGGAGCGACGTGGCGTGCCCGACGCTTGCCGTGACGACGACGGCGGCTGGTGGGAGCCTGACGCAGAGCGACATCCGTGGCGGTGGGAGCGCCGTCCCGACACTGCTGATGGTGGCGCTGCCGCCGCCGTTTCGGTGGGCAAGCGACCCGCAGCTCGGCACGCACCTGAGCTTTGTGCCTACATCGACGGCGCAGCCGAGCGGGTTTGGCGGTCCGTGGGGAGCGATGCTGCGCAACGCGACGTGGGTGCGCAACGAGACGAATCCGTCCACCGTCCTGGAGCTGGCTGTGCCCGTGCACCGCGGCTACTTTATTGATGCCGACGAGACGCTAGTCATTCGCTGCGACGCTGTGGCGGTGTTCAGCGGCTGCAAGGGTGTGCTGCTTGGGTCCTTCACGATTAGGTCGAACACGCTGCCCGCCGCTGCCAGCGTCCTCTCTGCGATCACCGGCGTTGTTGCGGGTGCGGCTGCTGTTGCCGTGGTGGTGACCGGCGGGCTGGGCTCCGTTCTGGAGTTGCAGGCACTCGGCGTGTTCGCGAGGATGCCATGCGCCTCGGCGCAGGAGCGTGCGAGCACCGTTTCGCAGACTTACTTCCTGTCGGTGTTCGCTGCCCTTGACCCGCTGTGGATGGTGGTGGGCAACGCGCTGCTCGCCGCTGTGTTCGGGTGCGTGCACTGCGGTGTGACGGCGGCCTTCCAGCGGTGGCGCGGCGTGGACGCGGCGAGTGCGTGGGCGGCGATGCGCTTCCCGAGCCTGACGTACGTTGTGGCGCACGCGATGCACCTCGGCATCTTCTTCGGCTCGGTGTTCGCACTGGCGATGCCCGGCGCCCGCGTGCAGCACCGCGTGATCGGTGTCGCCGGCGTGCTGTACGGTGTGGCGTTCCCTGCTGGCGTGTGCTACTTCATTGCGCGTCACACAGGCGCGAGCTTCACGAAGTACTGGCAGTTTTTGAGGAAGCCGCTGCACGAGCGCCTGCTTTACCCCGTCGGGTATTGGCACCCCGTAGCGCAGCAGCGGATGTACGGCGGCATGCTGACGAACATGAGGGGCAGCCGCGTGTGCTGGTGCGTGTTCCAGCTGTCGGTGCTGTGTGTGGTGTGCCTGATTGCTGCTGTGCACCCGCCCGTGGGAGGCTGCCACGTCCAGTACTTCTGCATGGCGGCTGTGCTGCTTGCGGGTGCGGGCGTGGTTGCCTTCACGAACATGATGCGCTCGGCATTCCTGACGATGATGCGCACGGCGAGCTTTGTGCTCTTTGCGGCGCTGTGTCTGGTCAGCGCGGCAAACCACGTTGCTCCGAGCGACGGCGGAGCGAGGGCGTATGCGGCAATGGTGCTGCTGCTGACCACTGTGCTGCTTGCGGTCACTGTGTACAGCGTCGTTGTGTGGTACGCGGAGGACCGCCAATGGCAGGAGCTGCGCGAGCCGCGGCGTGGTGGGCTGGAGGCGCTGCTGCGCGATGACGGGGAGAGCGACGAAGACGTGCAGAAGCTCCACGAAATGACTTTGTTGTCGTACGCCTCAGGCACCACCGTTGCGTCGTCGTACCGACCACCCGCGCAGCTGCAGCCCATGGCCTGTGACACCTGCTCAGACGCCCTGAGTCTGCTTGAATGTGCATCCAGTGCGAGCTGCAGCATTAATTATACCGCTCTGGACAGGTGAAGATGCTCCGCTTGACGAAACACTTAGCGCAGTTTCTTTTTTAGGTGTAAAGGCTCCGCCCCGAACAGTACCGTTACGCGGCGAGAAGACACAAGGCCCCTCGCAGATGCGGCATGACGTAGATGCGTCTGGCAGGTATCTGCTTTCTTTCCATTATTCATAGACTGATCGGGTGATTGATTTTTTGCTTTTATTTTATTTTATCGATTATCGATGACAAAGGATTATCGAGCCTATCACGTTAGCTTGGGCGGATGCGTAACGTGTGTTTGTGTGTGTGTGCGTGTGTATGTGTTTTGCGCCCGCCGCTGCAGCACCGAATATGGGGGCTGGTGCTCTCTCTTTTTATATCTGTACTCAGTAGTGAGGACGTGCTCGACGATGGTGGTTGTGTGCGGGCCATAGGATGCATTCAGGAAAGCGTTAGGGAAAACAGTCGATGAAGCCCTTCTGTGACGCGTCACCTCCTGGAGGTTGTGAGTGTGCGTTGCTGTCTGATATGAGGGAGGGCGTGGGGGCCACGGCTGTGCAGCTGCGCAGCAACTCATCGGACTCCGCCCCGAAAGCGTAATCGATTGTTGGTTTTTGTTTTGTTTATATTTTCGTGCGGGTGCCTGCAGTGACTCTCTCTCCTGTTCCACGATGACTGTGTGGGAGGGCATGCCTGTCGCTTTTTATACTTATGATGTTGTGTAGAGAAAAAAAAACAGGAGAAAGAACGAAAAAAATA